GGTGGAGGAGGACTCAAGGGAGCTCCCCCAGTAGAAAGGGGTGTTTCTAGCGCTGCAGGAGGTGCTGCGTTGTGGGGTGTCCCAACCCCAGCCCAGTGGGGCGACTTCGGGAAGAGCAGTGTTGTGCGTAGGCAGAAGCCCGAATGGGGCATAGGCCCAAAGAGGCGTGTCTGGGGGCCAGGTAAGGCTAAGGCTGCCTGAGCCCCAACTGTGAGAAGCCCAAGTCAGGCATAGGACCCTAGAAGGTGTCTGGGGCCAGGTAAGGCCGAGGCCGCCTGAGCCCCAGGTGTGAGAAGCGCAGACAAAGCCCGAGTCAGGCATAGGACCCTAGCAGGGGCCTGGGACCAGGTAAGGCTGAGGCCGCCTGAGCCCCGAGCATGAGAAAATGCGAATATAGCCCCAGCGTGGGCGAGAGAGTGCGGGAAGCGCGAGGCACAAGCCCCAGTGTGGGCAAGACCGCGGGGAACGCGGGGCGTGGACCCAAGGGCGGGTGACCGCAAGGTACATGAGAGGCAGGCCCCAGTGGGCCGCTGCCTGGACGGGGGAGGCCCCGGAAGGGGGCAAGCTTAGTGAGAAGCCCCGGAAGGGGGCAAATTCATTGAGAAGCCCGGTGAAGGCAAGGAGTGCATGAGCGCAGGGAGACTGGCCCCAGTGGGGCACGGTCTGTGAGAGAGAAGCTCCAGGAGGGGTGCCTAGATTGAGCGGACCCCAGGGGGGAAGCAGATATAATTAGTGGGCCCGAGAGGGCTAGTGAATAGAGGGGCCCCGGGTGCGTGGCAAGCCCAGAGGCGCCGGTAAAGGGGCCCCGGGTGCGTGGCAAGCCCAGAGGCGCCGGTAAAGGGGCCCCGGGTGCGTGGCAAGCCCAGAGGCGCCGGTAAAGGGGCGTCGGGTGCGTGGCAAGCCCAAGGGCGTAGAAAGGAAAGGACCTGATAACGTCTGGAAGAGCTGCGAGGCTTGGGGCATGCTAAACGGGAGGTAGGAGGCACGCGTAGCCCATAAGGCTGGGGGGGTCACATATCGAGAGAAGCCCCCCAGGAGTGGGCACGTACTAAGGGAAAGCCCAAAGGGATGGCGGGCTACTTAGAACAGTCTGGGAGACAGGCCGGCGAGGGCCAGTACAGGGAGTAGCCCCGGAATCGTGGTAGAGCAAGACCGGCCCCGTGCCAAGGAGGGCTAGAAGGCAGCCTCCCATTGATAATATAAGATCAAAGACGTGGCGGGCAAGACAGAGGGTGCGTTCAGGACCCAGGCTTGGCACGGTAGGCAAGGGCGCTAGGGGAGGTCACGGCACCCCTAGTGGCCGTCCTGCCACACACCCCCACACCCTTCTCTTCCCCCCTCTGCCCACCACAACAGACTTACCAGCTGGAGGCAGCTGTGTCCAATGTCATCAAGGACTGCCTGTATCGTCTGTGGCTGAATCTCTGAATTGGTGCTGAAACTCCAAATCCGAATCGGCCAAATCAAATTGGGACAGTGATTTAAATCACCAAATCAAATCACTATCCCTGCAATTGGCCAAATCCAAATCTGAAGCAAATACTGCTTCACACAAGCCTAATGCCTACGTCCACTGGGAACAGCAGTGGTGATAGGTGGTTACCCATTTCCTGCTCTTGAGAAGTTCCAGCTGTGGGAAGTGCACAGAGTACAAGACAAGGATGAGAATGGCAGTAGTACACAGGTGGCTACTCCTTGCCCAGCTCTCCTGGATTTCTCCCACTATCTTGGGGGCTTTGTTGGGAACAACCTTATGGCTTCATATGTTCTATATGATACTGGGGTAAAATCTTCTATTCCATCACCAAGAAAATGACAGGATTGGACTGCAGAGCCAAGCCTTTTCATAGGAGCTAAGCAACCTCCACTGGTGGAGAGAGGTGTGATTGGGCCTTCTAGATTTGGAGAGTCATTTACAAGATAAAGTGAAAATGATCCTAAACTAGTGTTTTTACCCCAGCAATCTATAAATATATATAAAGATTTAATACATATGTAAAATAAGCACAAAATACACGCTGTTATGATTCCTGAATGTTTATAACAGTTAGCAGCTTAGATTTCGAATTATTTATTTTTGGGGCATGAAGCACAGTGGAAAAATGCATATTATTCATAAAAATGATTGTCCTGTTCACTTGTATACCTATGCAATTTATTCTGTAACAGCTTTTTACTTCAAAGAAATCACTAGCTAATGACATCTCAGACTTAAAAAAATCCACTTATTCACTATTCTGTCCCTGAGGGAATTCCAGTGTGTTATCAGAAATTTTTCCAAAGATCATTAACAGATATTACAAACCAATTGAAACTGAGTATTTTCTTTGCAAATTACTTTTAACTTTAGAGCTATTGAAAAAAAAGACATTGAGTGATTTAATTTACTTAATCTGTCTATTGATTGCAGCTATGTGCATATTCTGTGATTGCATTTCCAACAAAAAGCATATATAACTATCCCTAATAGAGATATTTTTCTAAATTATCATACTAGATCAGTAAGATCTGTGAAAATATTAATGTTTACTTTTTAATGTAGAAAATTGCACTGAAAAAATGGACACCTTTACTCTGTTGATAGATTAGGAATAACAACACAGCATCAAACTTACTTTACCCGCTAGTTTAATTAAAACTCTCCAATAATCATCAAATTAGTATGTCCTTTGAGGATGGATTTTTTTTCCACTGATTTAAGAAAAAACTTATATTTTTATTAGGCTATGGAGCCACTATTTTTCATTGTAAACACTTCCACTCATCCATGCATACTGAGCCTGTACTTATCCAGTACCAAACCTGAGGAACCCAGCTAGGAGTAAGGGGCCCCTGTGGACAAGAGTGGAGAAAGGAATCTTATTCCCTTGTTGTGAATTCAGCCATTGCTGAATCCTCATTCTTCAAGAATCAGTGGCAAACAGATCTGCACAGTGGCCCATCGGCGCTGACCCATACTCTGTTCTACCACCTCTGATCCTGCTGCTTCCCAAGCCCTCCGAACTCTGCTGCCCTGGGGTCCCTAAGGAAACAAACCTCAGACATGCAGCAGTTATGACTAATTCCTTCCCACAAAGAAGAAAGAAGCCACTGTGTTTGATCACCTTCCTGCTATGTGTGATCAGCTAGATCTGCAAAGAGAAGTCTGGCCCCCAAAGTGGAATCAGCAGCTCTAAGTGAGGAGCCTGTGCTCCTTACACAATCCTTCGGGAGAGTTGGGGGCTCAGAATGAGATTTGCCACAGTCACATAAATTAGCCTTCAGGAAAGGCTAAAGTGGGGAGGGGATAAGGGTGTGGAATATAGAGCCACTCACTGAAATCAAACTAAACTGCAGGCTGCCACTTAAGTCTTTCCTGCATGTGTGGTGTTCATTCATCTGCATGTTCTATTGCAAAAGGTTTTGCAGTAATGACCCAAACACTGTAGTTAACAGCATTAGTGGCACTGCAGGTTTGTGGCTACTACTGCAAAATCCTAACTGCTTCTTATGAGATGTGTTTACTTGTGTTCACAGGGATACCTTCTCTTCATACCACACATTAGCTTGGCAAATGCCAATATATCAAGAGAAAACCAAATCCCATAACACTTACTAACATCTTTCACTTATATTTTACCAAGTGCATCACAATAGCTCAGACATGTCAGACTTCAGCTTCACACCCATTTTTCCCTTCAAGATTTGAAAGAGACAGGTTTTATTGTTCATGATTTAACAGATGTTGACACCCTGGGATATTGAGGTTTTCTATATATTGAAACATTAGGTATAACATAGGCATCCATAACACAAGCATATCCATAATTGTGGCTCAGACTAGACCTGGGATTTCCCTTGCTGGCATTCAGAGCTAAGTTGTCAGGTAAGGGACTGGCACAGCTCCATTGACGTCCGTGGTACAACAATGATTTACAACAACTGGGAATCTGCCCACAATCTCCATCCTTACTGCACCAGTGGCACCTTTACAGAGCATCCCAACACACCTGTCAATTAAAGCCTCATGTAATAGTCAGCCAGATCCCCAACCTGTATAAGTTGACTTTGTTCTATTAAAACCACTAAAGCTATGATAATCTGATTAGAATCAACTTCAGATCTATTTTTTATTTACAATGCATATGAGTTTCCTCTTGGAGCAGAATGAAAACTGCCAACTAATTTCAGGTGAATACAGCCATCAAATGAAGTGAAGTTCAGCTAGTGCCAGGCTGTGCCAAATTAGAGTGGTGTAACAGAACTGAAAACCCTTGGCTTACAAATCCTTTGATACATCCAACCTTCCTGTACTAACATATATAATCCTGTGTACATTCACATTTTTTTCTAAGGAACATTTAATGAGCCTATTTTTAAAGAATAGATTATCAGGAGATCAAAATCAATGCTGATAACATAAATACAGTTTTTACACTTCAAACAACTGTCCATATCCATTTTTATTTCCAGTAACTTTGACACTTAACACCTATGAAAAGTATTGTGCTATGGTAACTTTATACACAGATCCGACACATGGAAGGAAACATGTATTTTCTTAGTATTCCATTTCTAATGCTTGTTAAAATTTCATTTTCATTGAAATTTTCCATCCTCCTCTAAGTCTATCATTATCACCCACCGTAAATGGAGGTGTAGTAAATATTAATTCTTAAGTTAATTAGAGACAGGCAATGCACCCCAGAAATAAAAAAAGTCTGATAGGTTGTGTCAAAAAGATCTCCTGTTGATATTATTATTTGTTAAGCATTGACAATGTGCTTAGTTCTGCTGATTAAGTTCTACTGAGCAAGTCCTACCGATTAGCTTCTAAGGACAACATACTGCACTACAAAGAAGATATTTGACAGCTGTCTAGACTCTCACTCACTTTCAAGGCTTACATAGCACCAGTTATGCAGGTTTTCATGAGGGGAACATGTAGAAAATACGTAATCTGAGTAAATACCATGACATTTGTATTCACTCATTTTCTCATTCCAAATCTCTCACTCCAGCACGTTCTGCCAACCTCAAAGTTATTCTACAATTTGAGTAAGATCTAAAGCTCCAAGCCTGCAAAACACTGAAGGTTTTAAATATTTCCAGCATCATATGATATTAAAGTTGAGAAGGCATGCCAGCTTTTGCAGTACCAAACAACCCACTGAAATCACTAGGACTCTCAGAGTGGTAAGGTACTTATAAGGATAATGGAATTGGGACTCAAAATGAACAAAACTATGTAAGTATTGAGGGCATTCAAGTTTTCCACTACCACCACAACATAAGTCAGTTAGTATCAATTGGTTGTATGCTCCCTGATATCAACCCAGCCTTAACAAAATTATAATCAAGTATTTTGGTGGCAGGGAATGGCAGATTGCATGTCTCCTGTCCTCAGACTGCTGTGGACCACTGTCTTCCATGGGGTCATAGCAGTTGGTATGCCATTTCTGTGCATGGTTGGGAGACCCCTGATGCCATGGGATCTCCCAAGGGTGGGTGAGTTAAGCACCTGCTTTATATCCATTTTACACCATTGTAAAGGTGTCATAACATGATTCTCTCTGTGTCATTGCTTTACCAGTTACATAAAGGTCTCTACATACAATGGAAATAATGACCGGGGGTTACTGCAAAAATCACTAGCCATACACCATAATGTGTCAGGATGCAGCTGAACAGATACTGTTTACCAAACCCTATGACAATGTCTACATCTTCTAGTTACAACACAGCATAAAATCCTATAAATGAATATGGGTTGTAAGTAGCTAGACTGGCTGGGCCCCTGTCCTGCACAGTTCAGTCTTCTTCCTAGTTTACTGTGCTTAGCTTAAGGAAACGACACAGTGGGAGCATTTACATGAGAAACCAAAAGCCCAGTAAACTAATTTTCTGTGCATTAGCACATCACAGCAAAAGCTGTGCTAATTCACTAATGTGCAGTAGAATTAGTCTATTGTACATTAATGTCACTGAAAAGACACATGCCAGTGCTACTGCGCAGTAGCATCAATTACCACACATTAAGTTAGTACCTGTTATTACAGGTACTAAACTTAATACACAGTAATTACAGCATATTAATGCACATGTAGACATCCCCAATTAATATAGCTAGAGAGCCTCTAATCCCTGTCAGCTGGCTGTTGAAACTGGCTGGGAAGTACACAGGAATTTACAGTTTACATGTTCAATGTGTAATAGGACAGTTATGTCTTTCATACCTTTGTTATACATTGAATACAATTCAATTCTAATGATTTTATAAGAAAACCAATCACCAGTGACCACACAGATGTGTATGCAGATGTACCCTATTTCACTGCTTTGGTAGGTGTACCGATTAGTTGACTGTTTAATATTGAACTTCCATTCAAGCCTCCCTACACTTCTGAGTCACTTGACTTATCATCTTCCAGGTGTGAGCTACAAGAGCCTTTGAAACCCTTCCTCCTTATACATCTGGCACCTAAAAAAGCATGGTACTATCTTTTAGAAGGAAGAAGGAAGCAGGGAACTTGGTAGAAGCTAAGACCTTATTAAACTAAGGAAAAGTGGGGCAGGGGGCTGGAAGAAAAGAAAGGCCTGCTCAGGGCTGAGATCTTATTGAGCCAAGGTTTTACTGAAGCCTTATCAAGACAGTGTCAGGGATACAGGGCCTCTAGCCTATCCAACCACATGCACTTAGGTCAATGGCCAACTGAGCACACACTGGTCAATGGCCAACTTCCTAGTTTGCACACTTCCCTAAACCCGATCTGTTTTTTCATAGCTAACTTAAGAGAAGTCAGTTCTTACATAATATCTTTTTGGCAGAAACATTTGTGTGTGCACATGTAGCTCATATTTTAGAGCTAATTTTGTGCTGATATTTATTTCATGCTATCCCCATGATTTCAATGTGGCATCATAGGGGTGTAATTCATGACTGAGCTTAATGCAGGGGCAGGCAAAATATAGCCTACAAGCTAGATCCAGCCCGCGGTGCACCTAAAAAGTTTAGAAAATGAATATTTATCTGCTCCTGGTTGCCTGTAAAAGATGAAAGGAGCCAGGGGCAGAAGGACCCAGGGGAAGGCAGCAGGACTGAGGAGCAAGCCCAGCCCAGCCCAGCCTCCTCCTGGCTCTGGCCAAGCTGGTTATCTGGCTATCCAGGAAGGAGGCTCTGGCCAGGAAGGCTCCCAGTGACCTCGGGGCGTTTTCCCTCGGTGTCCTTCGCACGCGTCTCCAGGCGGAGCACCACTAGGCAGTAGCTGCCAGTG